AGAAGAGGGTCTGGAGGAGGATTAACATAGCCGGAGCGTCTGCATAGACACTGAGCTCAGATTTGGAAGAGATGTGGACTGAGAGGAGAGTCGTTAGGGTGAGAGTGATCCTCCCACTACAGGTTACAGATTACAGATGTTTGTGTGAATTAGCCCCATGCGACTTCCAGGAGGATCATTAATGCTGAGAAGCTGTAGTCAAGTCTCCACACTGACACTCACACTCTTGTTCTTTCACAGAGCCTAATGTTGCGTTAATATAGTCTATGGACAACATCAATGGGGCAAATTCAGGGAAAGGGAAAAATCAATATATCATGGATGTCCACCGCCACTTTCATGCAATATGAAGGAAGCAACACAGCATAAATCTCTGATAATCGATGCTATAGGAGAATATTAGTGTCAAATAGCCACGTCGATGTATAAACAGGCTTTGATTGCAGCACTTATTATTCTTTCTATGTGGGTTTATGCACTCAGACGAAGTGATTTCTCAGAGGCTGCACTCTTTTTCATCAGCTACTAGTTTGATGAAGGACTGTCACAGCACACAGACAAGTTCCTTTCAATCTACATCTGTGGATTCCACTTTAAGCAGCATCGGTCCTTGGAGCACTCTTTCATCCACACACTTCTGGTCTTAGGGGGACACAGAGGCATCCCAGCATATAGTTTTTGATAAGTTTCCGTTGGTGTAAAGCTCCTCGTCTCCAGTTTAATGACTGCAGGAGGAGTATTTTCTGCTGAAAGTGCTGCTGTATTCAGAGGAGCAGGAGAAAGGCAAATATGATGCTCATGCGGTTCTCTTCCGCTCTGTGCAGTGTTTTTAATGTCTTTCAGCTTATTGTTTTGGTTTACGGATCTTACCGATTATTTTCAGTTCCACCGTTTTCCAATGCAGCTGGCAACTGTTTTCAGCAAAAAAAGCTGTAAAAATTCCACTTCTGGTGGCTGTGTAAGTGTTTTCTAACACGTTTGCCATATCAGTCTTATAAGGTGATATTATGTCATTATTTATATTTATAACTCACCACAAATGGCCAAAACAAGTCAGTTAATGCAGCTTTAATTATCAAAATAGTCTGCGTAATGTTCATTTTCATGTTAATGCAAAGGTAAGTAGAGAATTTCAGCAGGCACTCTTTTAAGCAGAATGATTAAAAATACTTTAAAGTGTAAATCCACTCTAGATATTCAAAGGAGGAAGACATAACTGCACTTAACTTCATGGGTTGAGGGTCATGTCTCTTATTACAATAACCTACTACAAAATACTGAAGCAGGTTTTTGATATCAAACGTGTATCAAAGACGGTTATGTGTAAAACCTATATTTCATATTATCAAAATGTTTCCTACCGCACTCATGTTTAAGCAGATTTAACAAAAAGTTAAGCTAAGTTTCCTCCGAACCAAGAGTTTCCTCTCTTTCAGCTTTCAATCACAAAGGCTTTGTTATTAAGAAAAAAAACACAGTACAATAGGTTTCTGACACCCAGAGCTCTGTTCCACTATCTGGGTGTAATGAGCTGATCCTGCATCGCTAACCAAATATCTTCTATTGATCGTGGTTAGGTGGCACAATTTCCATCGTCAATAGATACAACACATTCTAACAACCAACGAGCCTGTTAAGGGTGTAGGGGAATTGGACACAAGAACACATTTCATGCCTCTGTTATGAATTCATGGCTTTGAAATAAGATCACCAGATCATATTTCAAAAAATCCCGAGCACTGTGTTAAATCTTTCTGCCTCTCTCGGCCTCCTATCCTCCGAGGGCTGGATTACAGAGCTGCTTCTGGGCTACTTTTGGGCTGCAGCGCCTTTGGCTTATTAGCTGTGTGTGTGTGTGTGTGTGTGTGTGTGTGTGTGTGTGTGTGTGTGTGTGTGTGTGTGTGTGTGTGCTGTAGTAATGTCCATTTTAATCGAATTAATCATTAGCCTCATATTGTTTTGTTTTGTAAAAGAGATAAATCTGGCCCTCAAGGGGGGCGAGAGACTTGAGGCAGTGATACTGGTGAGATGAAATATTCAGGTAGATGTCAGCATCTAAAAACAACAAGAAGTTGGTTATTGTAGTTTAGAGGCAATAAAAACGCCTGAGTGCCGCTGTCATCATAACTCACTCAAATCTGAACACACAGACACACTACCCATACTTTTAGATTTAGTGTGACTTAGACTTTCTGGAAAATATTATCTCAGATGACCATCGCAAGCAGTCGTCCATAAATCCACTAAGAATTTATGGCATACAAGCGCAAATTCGCAATAGCTGCGACCCCATGCATCCGCACTTTCATGCGTTCACACACAACCTCACAAACATTTGAAATCCCTTCCATGTTTCAGCTTCCAGGGCCAAAACTGCAGTTGCCAAAGTGTGAACATCGTAAACCCTCGAGTATAAAAATGACTCGTTGAAATCGGTGGAGAAATCATTTTTATCCAGATAAAAGGCAGCGCCCCGTTCACCTGTTTGTTTACAGGCCAGCCCTGCCCAATCAAACATGGCGACGACGATGTATCACAGCAATGGTCAATGGGCATCTCTGTATATATGTTGCTTTTCTTTTATTTTGAGATCAATTTCACTCCATACCAAAGGGTGCTAATAAAAGCTAATTTGGCATACTTTTAAATGTGCCAAAGCTAAAGAAAGCTGTAGCCCACAGAATAACTCACTGAATCAATGAACTTCCTGTTTACTTTCCCTGACGCGTCATGGCAACTGTACTTCCAAATCCTATCCTAAATTCTGATCGGTTAATACTTCTGTGAGACCCTCTAAAAGCTATCGCATGTGTTATATCAGTTTGGTTCTGGTGAATACAGTGCCATACTGCAAAGTTACATTGTTAGTGAGGTCTCCTTTTCTACTCTTCTCCTTATACGATGACTGTGCAGGTTTGAGGCTCTGATTGGGCTGTTTGGTGTCAGTAAAATCTGGCCACACTGCAGACCTGTCCAGTAATATCACTGATCACGTGATTCAAGACTAAGGTGTCAGGATTGATCTGCAGAGGGTTAGGATTATTTCACCCCTATTCCTTACGCTGCTTGTACGAAGTCTCGAAACTAAATGAAACGTGTTGTTGAAATGGATTTTATTCAGTGCGTGTGTGTGTGGTGATTTGACTCGGTCTTATCACAGTATTGGTATTCACACTGAGAGCGACACGCTGAGCCTCATCAGAACGTGTGGTATCGGCGGCGTTGGCATACAGAGGCAGAGTAAACCACCTTTCTCTCTGTTCTCACTCAGCTTCTGTTAGTGAGGTCCTCTGTGTTCTCTCTCTGTCTCCTCTGCCTTCCATTCAATACATTTCAATTCATTTACTATTTATTGAATCAATTTCTCCAAATTAAACATTTTTTCAGAGACCTGGGCAAAAGAAATACATTCATTAACTTGACGAAGAAAGTATGCGGCGTTCCAGCAGCTACATAACAGAAAAACACAGAAAGATTCGATATTATTAGGATTAGAAACAGCATTGTTACTGTAAATTTGCTGAGAGACGACAAGGAAATGTGATTTGCAAGTTGATACACGTGTGTAGTTCTATAAAGAGTAAAACATTTTTGTGAGATTAATTTAAAATCAGCTAGTAGAGGACACAATACATCCTCTGGCAGCCATATTGGAGGTCATCAGCTCTTCGCAGTGGCAGCTTATGATACCGTTTGGTCAGGTACCTTGTGGGCTAATTGGCTAAAAACATTATTTGGGATCCAAATTATTGACTTCATAATGAATGACAAACGCCCACAAAGTTCTTTTACAGATGTCACAGGGTTTTCTGCCCAGTTAAATATTTAAAAGGACTTGCGTGCAGCATCTAAACCAGTGACAGCGGTGCCATAATGGCTTCCCAGTTAGCATCTCATGCTATTACTTTACTATGTATGGGAGATAAGATAACGGCATGTAATCTGCAACCTGGTTACAGACTTGGCTGTTCAAAAAAAGAAGAAGAATGAAGATGTAAATATGAATTCAGTCTGTTATGTGGCAAAACACAGCTGGGTGAAATGTGAAAAACATGGCCCACCTAACATGCTCACAATAGGAGGCGGTTTGGATGTGACGGTTCCTGTTTTGCTTCTGTTTTCCTGGCCTGAGGGAGAACAACTTTTCCTCACCTGCAACTGAGAGAATCTCTGATATTCAACACGTATAACAGTAAGCTTTTGACAGAGGCATTGTTTTAGTCTCGAGCCTTTGATTTTACTTGAAAACCATCATCAGGAGCATTTTGGTTTCAGGAAACAGCAGCTTATAAAGACCAGGTGTGAGAGCTGATTACATCATCAGTTAAAGTCTGACTGTGTCACAGGCAAACACAGAGGAAAGATAATACACACCAACACCACATATATATATAGCAGACAGGACAACTTAGGACAGTTGTGTGACTGTTTATTAATTGAATGGTGGACTTTGGCCGATGTTTTCAGGTACTTCCATATTATTAAGCGCTGAGTCGATGGACGTTGACGTGAACACTATTTACAAGTCGTAATTTTGAAATCTTGATAACTCTGACATGACATCAATATGGCATTAATCTACCAAACTAAGTCATGTCAGTCAGCCAACATACCAGTTTAATTATTAGACTTAATTCTAATTAAATTAACTAATCCTATATTTGTAATTAGCATGAACAAAGATGAACATTTTAATGTTAGTCGATGGGATGGATGTTAAAATAACATCTAGTGGGAAACAGTTCAGGGCTAAATATTTATATCGACTATTTATGTGAACATTCAGGCTGAATGTTTCTGATTTGTCTTCATTTTGTTTTTGTTTTTGATAAAAGACTAGTTTCAACATTGCTGCCACATAATAAACACTGAATACATGTGATGTTTGACTGGGGAGATTAAACTCAGGATGTGTTTTACTTATATTTTCCTTCTGTCATCATATGTGTCACCCTGTAGTATGAAGTGTTTCATCTTCTCATCTCTAGCTGTCTCTGCAGATGTCATCCACACTGTGGGCCCGATTGCACAAGGAGGAGTGGGAGAGGAGGAGAAGAACGCCTTGAGGTCGTGTTACAAGAACAGCCTGACGACAGCTACCAAGAACGCTGCACGCTCTGTGGTGAGGACGGAGGGGTGATGGAAGCTGGGGATGGTTGTTGCTAGGAAGAAAACAGGAAGGTTGAGAGCAATCATGATGAGATACTGAGTTGTTTGTTTTAGCGGTGGAGAGAACAAAGGAGTGCAGAAACCTGAGAGACTAGATCAAAACAGAGGTTAAAGGAAGAGAAGCACCGAAGACTGGGACAAGAAAAAACAAAAAAGGACAGATGAGAGGAAAGAAGCAAAAGAGAGGGAGGGAGTCATGACTGTAAAAGAGAGAAGGAGATTCATCACATGTAGACTTTTCAAAGGACACTACATTCAGGCGGAGATAGTTGGAGAGAGGCGAACAGGAGCTGCTGGTACGACTGTTGAGTCGTAAAAAGGTTTTATGATGCACACCAGGCGGTGGTTTCACAGCAGAATGAGGTGTTCAAATCAAAGAAAAACACCAACGCAACATGAAAATACAGTCGGCGGTACAGTAGAAGAAAGAATAGTGCTGAGAGTTTGTAGTTTCACTCCTCAAGAGTAGCCTTAAAAAACACTTCAAGTTTCTCCGTTGCAAACAAGCAATTACAGCGTTTATTATAATTGTTTTCATTTCATTTCTATTACATGCCCAAAATGTACCTTCAAAAACTTAGAGGTGTAATCACATCTTGATTTAATTGATACTCTGATATAAAGTCAAGTCAAGTAATTGGTTTAGCCTAAAATCCCATATTTCATTTGTGTTATTAGTTGACTTCTGTTGACTTCTGTTTACCTTTCGCCTTGAGGAGCCTGTGAGTTGTGTCTGCTGTCACCCTGAGTTGCCAACTCTGCAATCTGGTGAAATGAAGAGATCTGGAGACACCGAGAGACTCCTGGCATCTGCTCGTACCGCACGGATTGACAGCAGTTTGAGAATCTGCCAGATTTGATTTGCTTTGCTTTGAAGTTCACTGGCTGCTATTCTCCACTCCAGCGGTGTGCCATGAACCTGCCTGACATGGATCTCAATGACTTGAAGTTGCAATGCCGACGATTTTTATACAACAAAATATTTTTGAAACTTGACATTGACATTTTTCACAAATAGGGATTCAATGTACGTTCAGTAATTACCTCACCATTTAGCAGTTTCATTGTTCAAGTTTGACTTTCCTTTCTAACTTACCTCCTCACTCAGTTCCTGCTGTCTACACTGGTCACACAAAGGCATCTTTGTAAATTAACTTCAACGTAAGTGATGGTGGATTCTAAGGCTGAAGCCTCATCTTAGCTTCAAAGATATATCCACCAAAGTTAGTCTTTTAGTACTGAAACGACATTGAAATTCTTTAAGAAGAGATCTCTTTTTGGCTGGTATGCAAAGGACGAACAATGAAAGTGCTTTCAAAGAACATGTCAGGACTATTTTCTACATTTTATTTTGGGCATTTTATGCCTTTATTTTATAGGGAGAGTAGAGAGATGAACAGGAAACAAGGGAGAGGGAGGCTGCAATGAAACGTCCCCAACCGGATAAAAGACAACAATGAAAACATTCGAACCGGAGGCTTGGTGGTTCATGGTTCACGGCATCTTGACCCCTAAGAGAATCGTTTTAAGACGTACTTTTTTTTAACTCAACTGCTGAAACAGGTGACTTTTATTGTGGAATAGCCACATTGCGCTGCAGGTGAACGGCTCTTACTTCTCCAGCACCTCTCCAACCAACACTTTGTCAGTCAATGTAAATTATTGCTTTCAGGCCGTGGTTTGTTGGGATGTTTTTCTATTACAGGGTTATTTTTAAACCTCACTTGTTGTTACCAAAAGAAACCACCGGTGTTACCAAATCAACCAGGACTGGAATGTTGTAGATTATAACATTATAAACATAATAACATTGATGGTCACCATGTCTCAGTTATTATCACTCTATCAATGTCTGGTTAATGTCATTTCACACCAGGTCTCCTTAACAAAAGATGATTGACAGTTTGGTCTTTAAAGAGTAGTGAAAGTCAGAGAGAGAAGGAAAGCTGCCGTAAAAACAATTAGGAGAAAGACTCCGTTGAGATCCAGAGGAGAGTTATTTCTATGTGTGTGTGTGAGATGAAAGCAGACTGTTATGTGATCAACAACAGACTGTAACCACTTTGTTTGTCATCTCCGCCCTGCAGGCTTTCCCCTGCATCTCCACTGGAGTCTACGGTCAGTGTGTGTGCGTGTGTGTGTGTGTGTGTGTGTGTGTGTGTGTGTTATCATCATAGCTGTACCTCAAGTGTTTGTGTTTCTCGGGGCTTTATACTCAATATTTTTTCTTTGAGTGAGAAGAAGAAAAAAAAAATCAATTTTCATCCAACAACAGTATTTCTTTGTTTTTGTGTTTATACGCTGTACACACTGCCGGGGATGTTTTCCATCACATGCTTGTTCCCAGTATCAGTCTTTCTGTTTAACCAGAGTGCTGAGCCGCCCTTCGCCACTTGTCTCATTATCTCCTGCAGCCCAGGGGTGGTTCTCAGATTAAGGCCTTGGATTAAGACCGGCAGATTAAGATAGATTAGGCCGGAGATCGTGTCAGATTGACTGTAATCCCCCTTCACACTGGCAGGAGAGAGTTAAGGATAGTGCTTAAACACTCCCTGGGGTGCGTTTGGGTGTGAGGGCCGGCTGTAAACACTTCTCCCCTGTTGCTCGAGAGGAAAAGGCCAAAGTTCTGATTGACTCGTTGTGTTATCCGTGTCTTCCTCACTTCTGTCACTTCCTCTGTTGAGCTCATCTTTTTAAGAGTACATCCAAACTTTTTTCCTTTCGCCCTTAAGAAAAACAAGAAACAAAATTGTCTAAATTTGAGATGGATTTAGCAGCTGTTAAAGGTACCCCTCACTGTATCAACCAACGTTTGATGTAATTATAAGATAATGGAGGGGAGATGCCAACAGTTCTGCCAGCCAATACTAGATTTTAAACAATGCCTCCTCAGAGCCTGTTGTGAAGCACTTATAAACAAATATATGTTGATTGAATTGAGGAACCATTGTGGAGGAACGTGCTTTACAAACATACAGTAGTCATCCCAGTTTATCAAATACTGGCTATTTAAGTCAGGACACACCCACACATGTGTTTTCTATCATTCTGGCTGATTAGACCTCGTTAAAGTTTAGGTCGGAAGACCTGTGATGCGACTTACATGCAGTAATCCCATTTGTACATTTGTTTTTCTCCCGTTCAGGAAGTGTTGTGTTCTTGTGCTACACAGGAGTTGTAGTAAGTGGTCGGGGTAGATGGTGGAAAGCAGGATTGTGACACCGTAGTCCAGGGTTTGCATCCTGAGTCACGCGTGAGGTTCAATAAGGGCCACTGAGCACTTGAAAAGACCACGATTGAACACGTCCTGTGTTGTGCCACAAGTTACTGTAAACTAAGAAGATGATCTTTTATCTCCGTCAGTATGTCTTTCCTTTTAATTTTCTACAGGGCCTATTTATTAGTAGTGCGTTATAAACACAGTGTAGTGTATTGCGATGACACTATTTGACATTATTATCTATGGAAAGAAAACTTTGCTGTTCCATCAAGCAGTGATAGTTTATATAGAGTAACATAAGATTGGATTACATCCCTTGCACTCTGTGTGTATTTGGTGCTAAAAGACTGCATTGTTCGGTGCTAATTTGCGCCCCCATGTGTTCCCCTTTTGTTCACATGTTGAACACTCTCCTGATGTATAGAATAATTACTGTATAATCACACAGTATGTGTTTGTTTGTGGCTGAGGAGTTTGGCCTGATGATGCATTTTTACTGCCTTTGTGTTGAGTCTCCAGCAGCGGGGGTAATTTCGCAGCACAGAAAGGTCTCGGTCGCTGAATGAATATTGAAGAAGCCTTTCTCCATCTGTCATGTCTGCACCTCATCCCGCGAGTCGGGATGAGAGGAAGTGAGAGTACACAGAGCACCGAGTGATGGAATAGTGGAAAATAAAAACAGTGCAGACAACGACCTAATGCAAACACCCAGATCTGACACTGCACCTGTTCTTGTAACTATTTGTATATTTTTGTTTGTGCAGGATATCCACCGGAGCAGGCGGTGCACGAGGCGTTAGCAACTGTGCGGGAGTATCTGGATGAACATCACGACGAGGTGTGTACGCGTGTTTGTGTCTGCATGATTGGCAATTTTTTCCTCCCATTTCCTCAAGGTATTATTCCTTTCACAGCTGTTGTGTTTGTTTTCTGGTGGGAGCGAGGAGATGGGTGCATTGAGAAAACACATACATGCACGCGCACAGTGACACACACGCGCGCACACAAACATACATTTAAACACACACTCCAAAGTTCTGGCTCTCGTGCTCATGGCCAAGTCTGCGTTTTAATTGGCTCCTTGCGGGACTAAACCCGACTAACACAAAAGCACACACACACACACACACACACACACACACACACACACACACACACGCACACACTTTCTCTCCGGAGAAACAGCGGGCGGAGAACAGACAAAATGATGGAACAGATGACTGGAGGGGAGAGGGGAAGGGAGGGGGAGGGGGAGGGGGGGGGGGGGGGATTAGAACAAAGAGGAAACTTTCCAATCAGTCGTTAACATGCTCTAAACTCTCCTCCCCTCTTCCTCCTTTAATCTTCAGGTCTCCTCTCACTCTTCTTTTCAATCGTTCTTTTTGTCTCTAACCACCGTGCTGTATCACCTCCCAGAGAGGGTGTTGACGATGTTATTGTTAAAGCTGGCGTCTCCAGAGTCTCTGTAGCAATACCAGTCGACTGATGCCGTCAGCCGCGCCGAGCTCAGCCAAATGAGCATTAAACGCGTCTCACCGCGGACAACAGTCAACAAGACTTAAATGGCTGAATACAAGACCAGAAAGCCAAATCAGCGCGCCTCTTCTTTAAACTCAGAAATAGTTCCACTGTGTGTGATTTTTAAGGGGATTTTTTTTTTTTTTTACTTTGAACTTACAAAATGGTGAAACAGAGTTTACTTGCAAGCAGAATGTTCACCAGAGGAGGTTTAATCTGTAATTGAACCCGCTCCATTTTGCATTTTTGACACAGTGTTGTGTTGGTCTCACTCTGGCTTGGAGAGCTGTAATATAGAAAATGAAATTGAATATTACACACCCAGCAAGACAAACAAAATGGACTCAAGACACGGGGCAATGTGCCAACACCCTGCATCAAGTGTAATAATAAATACCATGAGTCATTTATTCGTAAAGCACCAACTAAACTGTTGCAAGAAAGTAAAACCCTGGGCAGCTCATGAGTTTTATAAATGTTATATTGTTATATGTTAGATTCCCAGTTGACCTGAAAGTTTAGAAAAAACTGATTTATAATAATAATACATTTTGTTTACTACGCACTTTTCTAAACAAAGTTACGAAATGCTTCACTAAAGATATTAAAACAAAACAAGGCAGATATAATGTGAATAAGGCTGAAGGATACGAGCACAGAGGAACTAAAGACAATAAAATGAATAAGATCAGATGAGCTAGCTGGCTAATTCCAGCCACATAACCAGCTACAGCTACAGTCTCATGCTGATTCCTTTTAAAACATGACTTTTGTCAAAGGTATCTTATATGCACTCAACAGGCTTTCCGATGGGGAAACAGTGGATGTGCTGGTTATGACAGAGTTCACCAGTAATCCCACAAACTAAATTAGAAAATGTTTTCCTAACTCTTGGCCTCAGACTTTCCTGTTCTCAGACTTTCTGTTTGAGAAGAGAGTGTTTATGCTTTGAAGGCAGTTCTGAGAGAGCACATTACATTCACTCGATGTTATTGTTAGCTTCTCCAGGCTCCCTGTTACAATAGTACAAAAAATTAGCTCCCCACTGCCGCCATTTTTCTGGAGACCATTTTGCATCTCTCCTCGCAAAGCATTTGCTTTAATTTGAATGGGGGAGGCTGAAAAATTGCACAAGTGGATGCAACTCAGTGTGAAGGTTAGAGATTTCAAACCTTAGCCCAGGGGACGTAGTTACTTACCGCACATTTCCATATCTTCTCTTTTAGCCTCCATTCAAATCCTGGCGAGTGAAGCTAATTGTGCAACAAGCATTAGGCTGAACCACACTGGCTGCAGGCTAGCAGGCTGCTGAGAGCAATGGCAGTTAAACTTCCACACCAAGCAGGAAGTGATAGAAACAGCGGGGCTATAAATTGCCCTGCTTCTCACCAAAACAGAAAAGTCTAAACCTTTGTAGAGACATTAGGGAGGTAATACTGTTTGTTAGAGGCTGAGAAATAGGGAGTACACTGGGGAGCTGATATCCCTGGAAACCTTTTTTTACTGTAGCTACAGTAACTTTAATCATCAGGCTACATATAGCGCTGTGCTCTGTACTGTATGTCCAGCTTTACAGAATATAATGTAAATATTATAGACTGCAGAGATCTCAAGAACACAAGAGCACAGAGCATAAAGATTGTTTATTGCTGTAAAATAGCTGCACTGCCAGTGTCTTTAATAATATTTGAAAGCTATTATCTTTGTGTGTGTGTGTGTGTGTGTGTGTGTGTGGGGGGACTGCCAGCCTT